TATAAATATTTATGTAGTTATAAACAATGTAATAGATAAAATTAATTTAGTTATTCATATAAAGTTGATTATACATAGGTAATGTGTGTAGATAGTTCAGTAACCCATATGTCCCCGCAGGTCGTCGGTGGGCACGTCCCCGACGCTGGGGTCGTCGTGCGGGTCGGTGCCGGCGTCCCTGCCCACGTTCCACCACCCCAGCCACGGCCTGCTGCGGGAGAACCACTTCACGCAACAGGCCTACCACAAGTACCACTCGCGCTGCCTCAAAGGTAACTTCATATCTTTGTATCATTTCTAAGTCTACGTGCGGAGGCCCGGCTTCAAAGCCTCGAACACAGGCGTAAGGTTGCAAGCCTTTCAGTCTTCTACCGGATATATTTCGGATAGTTTGCAGGGGAATAGGGTAGATGACTAATTTTTATTTTAATGTCCGTCTGGTAGATTATTTTAAATCATTAGACCCGTATTTGTTATTTTTTTACAGAAACGAATACTTTCGACGATATATTGATTTGAAATGTCGCGTGACGTCACTTCTATGTACATTTTATACGTAGAAATGACGTTTTAGCCCCCACTCCTAAACTTTGATTCGTTTTATCTAAGTATCATTTTAATATCTAACAAAATAAAAAAATACGTGTGTCCAATATTTTTTCATTACCTAACTGACGGACTAATTATATTTTAAATTTTCATACCCTGTCATCATCCCTATTGCACAACTTGATTCCCCCTAGTCCTTTCCAACATCGTACCACAAGACAATCGGCAAAGCGTCACCGGTTCATGGTAAATGTCCCACCCACACGCACATAGCCTTTTGCATCAAACTTCCTTGTGCGTACTGCTAAGGAGTGGAATTCTTTGCCAGAGTTTGTATGTAGTGAAGGGTACCGGGTGTTTTCAAGTTTGACTACTCCGAGTTATATGTACTTTCTTTGATTATTTAGACACCACTGACAAACAGTGAAGGAAAACATCGTGACGAAACCTACTTCTAATTATAAGTTTATAGTCCCTAACCCGCATTGAGTAAGCGTGGTGATTAATGCCCAAACTTTCTCCGTGTGAGAAGAGGCTTTGCTCAGCAGTGGGCATTTATACATTAAATTTAATTAATTAAAGGTTAAAAAGAAACACTAGCATTTTTACGTAAAATCAACCCTTTTTGATAGTCAAACACCACGAAACTCGGACAGCAAATCATCAATAAGAAAAATAAAATCTATAAATGATTATAATATATTTCTCTTCATTTCTAGAACGTAAGAAGCTCGGCATAGGGCAGTCACAGGAGATGAACACATTGTTCCGGTTCTGGTCGTTCTTCCTACGAGACCACTTCAACCGCACCATGTATAATGAATTCAGGTAAATATTCGTTTTGTTATATGTACTTCTACAATCTAACTGCTATGAAAACAGTGAATGCAGAATTGCAAATTAATTATAATGGTTTTGAACGAAAATTATAGCATAAAGTGTATTAAAACAATAGTGTGAGTTGTAATGAAATTGTTTTAAATGTGAATATTAATGAAATATTTTATTTACTTCATAAACAATTAATAGAAATAGCTGATTAGGTTTTTTGCTATAGTAAAAACGCTTAGCTTAATCTACATTTCTAGATATATTTTTCCAAAAATCGAATGTGCATATGCATCGAATTTTTTTGTTTTTGCATTTCCATCGTGGTTTTAACATTGTTGTTTATGAATTTTAACGAAATATTTTCGTTGCAAATCATACTAAACACTGCTAATATAGTAATAGCAAATTTTTGCAAAATAAAAAAAAAATATTTATTTTTTGACGATCGAAATATACATGATTATTATCACGCTATAACTTAACGTACAATTCCAGAACGCTAGCCAACGAGGACGCGTCAGCCGGTTTCCGTTACGGCCTGGAGTGTCTATTCCGTTTCTACTCGTACGGACTCGAACGGAAGTTCAGACCAGAACTATATCAACACTTCCAGCAGGAAACCGTCGCTGATTATGAAAAGGGTGAGTCCATTCATACTCTTACTAGCTTCAGCCAGCTGATCCGCCACCGGTCAATTGGGTACCTGAATGATTCTCCAAAAAAAAAAACAAAAAATTAACGGCGTCATTATCCTTAAGCCACAGTTAACAATTCTGCTGATTAAAATACAAAGTTTAGTTTCAAGAAATTGAGCCGTGTCCCTGCTCTCACCCAATGCAATAAAATACAGATGCTAATAAGTTATTGCGATGCTTAACAACGCGGGAAGATAATGATTTGTTAAATAAAAGTTAAAGTTTTTTAAAGAAACACCCACTCGCCAACTAGTCAAATTCAATACTTCTTTCGAACTGTCAAAAACGACAGTTTTCTATGAATTTTGTACGAGATTGTGTATTGTGACGTCACGTTTTTTTAGCATCAAACAACATAGTTATTTCTTAAGAATTTGCTGGAAAAATACTAAAATTGAGTTGATCATAAAATCTAGTAATGAAAGTGAGATTGTTATTTAATAAATTATTGTGTTTTCGGCTTACTCACGTAATGATTTGACGAGGAACTCGACTAGTTTCAAGCCATGCTAGAGGCTCATATTCATGAGCAGCATTACGCGACCCGCGAGTTCCTCGTCAAATCATTACGTGAGTAAGTCGAAAACATAATAATTTATTTAGTATGTTATTTACTATTTTATTGTATGAAAAAAATGTCTTTATTGATATATTCGAAACGTAGATACAAGTCTAATATACAGAAAATTTATTGAATTGAATCATCGGTTATTAGTGAGGCAGTCAAGACATCATCACGCATTCAGCCACGTACTGGGGGCTTACTCTTGAATCCAATTCCGATCGATCGACATTGGTATTGTGAAATTTCGTACTCGCGATTTGCAACACTAGCGCCCATTGCATCATTGATATTGAATGAACTAAATGGTATTGAGTTTGGCTTTATACTCTGTACTTTGAATGCTATTTTAACAGCTATGATTGTGGTTGTATAGTTTTGATATTGGATAATTATTGAGATTTTATTGGATTGAAATTGCATTGACATTGAGATTGGTTTCAAGAGTAAGCACCCTGTCCACTGTCTCCCACAGTCCTCCCCAAAGACACATTGCGAGGTTTTCTTATAATTGTACTTGATAGGCTGACGTTTGGCCAGCATCTCGCCTGGTAGTAAGCGATGATGTGGCCGACGATGGAGCACGCCTACCTATGAGCAACCTGTTCGAGACTTGAAGACACCCAAGTTATATTTGACGAGAAAGTCTGATTCCGGCAAGGAATTCCATTCCTTAGCAGCTAAGGAATGACTTGTCGAAACTTGTATGGGATGTATTTTATGGGATAAGCCGGTAAACGAGCAGACGGATCACCTGATGGTAAGCAATCGGCGTCGCCCGTGGACATCTGGAACACCAGAGGCGTTACAAGTGCGTCACCGGCTTTTTGGGGATTAGGAGTTTGAGGATCGTTGGGGATTCAGGGATTGGGGAGACTGGGGAAGGGGAAGGTAATTGGGCCTCTGGTAACCTCACTCACACGACGAAACACAACGCAAGCGTTGCTTCACGTCGGTTTTCTGTGAGGCCGTGGTATCACTCCGGTCGAGCCGGCCCATTCGTCTTTGATTTGATCCTTTTAATACAGGCTTAGTGTGTATTGCGCTTAAGTACTATTTCCGAAAGTTAAACGTACCGATTACGCCCCCCCCCCCCCTGGTATTCCACTACGCCCCTCCAAGGGGGGCATGTCCCCCTGGTTGGGAACTCCTGCCTTAGCGGTTCGCACAAGGAAACTAGGAAGCGACCTGCTTTCAACGACTATAACAGAACTTATCTTCTTGGCTCAAAAACATACTTCATATTTTTCTTTGTTTTTCATACCAACAGGTCAGTTGTACGGCTTAGAAAAATTCTGGGCGTTCCTGAAGTACTACAAGCATACAGGAGCGTTGCAGGTAGACCCCAAGCTGCAGGGGTATCTGGAAAACTTCCAGAGCATCGAAGATTTTAGGGTGCTTGAGGTGAGTTCACTAAATTCAATTGGTACATATTATTTACTAGTGACTCTTGCGTGATTACATACGATGATCGGCGCCTATTGATCGTAGCGTGATGTTTCATAGCCTTACAGCCATTATAATTTTTATTCAATTTTTTAATTACTAGCTTTTGCAAGCGACTTCGTACGCGCAATCCCATTTCGTCCCGTTCCCGGAATTTTCCTGTCATAAGAACCTTCTTCTGATAATAACAAACGAAGTTCTCAAATTATGGCGTGACAACGGGAAACCGGTTTCATTTTTATAAATATATAGAGAGATAGTGTTGGCAACGATCTAATCTAACTAATACTAGTGATGTACCTAGTAGTACAACACGTTGTAATAATCTACAACGCGTTGTTATATCGATTAAAATAACATACTACTGGGTGCATCACTAGTACTAGTATTAGTTGTCAACACTATAATTAATAAGAAAGGATAACTGTCTTGGCGTAATCAACTAAAAATCGCAGGTTACTCACGTGAATATACTGAGCAACACCGACAACCCGTTAGGTTGTCTGCAGTCCGAATACTAGAGGGCACTGTTGTCATTTTTGGTTCTATAAAATAAACGATTCAATAAAAAAAATTGGAATATAATACTTTATATTATAATGTGCATTTGTCCTTAGAGGAAGTCCCATGTGGCATTTCAGATTAACGCTTCGATGCGCTAACTTGAAAGCTTGTATTAATCCCTAAACGCGGACGACACAGGAGAACATTCTAGCGTAGGTAGAGCAAAATTTTCGATTTAAAAGTAGTAAAATGAAATTGCACTATATGTCCACTGTATACGAGTGTAATGTCTTGTACAGTCACTGCGAATGTGAGTGCTACAGTAACCGAGTCGCTCGGCGTTCCGTACCGACGATATATAGCCGGGACGGGTGCAGTGGTGACGCGACAAACTTAGTATTTTTCTGTATAAAATGTCATATTTAAGTTTAATGTTTTTTTATTCAAAATGTTTTTTATTTAAATAACATAACATCACGCCTGTTTCCCCCCAATAAGTAGGGCCGACTGGGTGAGGCGGGAGGGAGTGTCAGACTCTTACTGACTAAACACCACCCCGTTCCTTCTCCTGCACGTCGAGCCGGAGCCCCGGTTACCCGTTAGGTTCTCCGCGACAGAGACAAGAGGCTAGTCAACGACGACTAGACAGCTTCAAGTCACGTGTACAGATATTGAGTTGGTATGTTTGGTTGCAGCCCCAGCTGAACGAGCTGCTGGCGAGCGCGGGCCCGGCGGCCCCGGGGCGCGGCCCCCACGCGCGGCCCTACGACCGCACGCGCTCCGTCTCCGAGAGCGACCGCGCCGCCGCCGCCGCCCGACACCACGGGTACTACTCACTCACATACATACAGTCTCATACGGTCAGAGGACAAAAGTCAACTGCCACCGTAACACTATTATCTGTTGTTATACCCACACACACGCATATTTGTATCCGTGCGTACGCGTGCGTGTGTATGTGTACGCTCGCGTGTTTATGTACATAAATATGAAATTACTTACGCATTGCCGTGTTAACATCACTCACGGTGGCAGTGGACTTTTGACCTTTGACTGTACATAAACTAACAGCTAGCCCTTTCTTGACAAGGGTCGCCAGTGATAGAATTCAATGGAAATTGTTGGAGGACGCCTTTGGCACACAGAGGGCACATATAAAGCTATATGGACAACACGGTCAGTGTGGTGGCTTGGCAACCGGCTGCCACGCAACGTGTCGCGGGTTCGATTCCCGTACGGAACAACTCTTTGTGTGAGCCACAAATTGGTGTTCCGTGTCTGTGTGTGATGTGTATATGAACTTGTATGTTTGTAAACGTACACACGATACAGGAGAACATTCTAGCGTGGGGTAACATATTAAAAAAAAACACTGAAGTGTATAATTACAAAATTAATATATTCATTTATATATATTGTTTTCTTAAAAGTATTTTGTTTATAAATATAGAATTGAACCCAAGTACAGCTTAATTATACGATTTATTTAGTTAATTAGTAACTGTATAATGTTTCAGTTTGTGCTATAAAATTACACGTACTGCATATTACACACTATTTTCTCTGTTTCTCTACGTTAAGTAGTAAAGTTTCGCTAGGAGAAAATGTCATATGGCATTAAGTATGTTTAGTTATTATAATTATATTTTATGTACAGTTTTGTTGGACATGGCGTTAAATTAAAGCCTTTATACCTTTTATTATTAAATAAATTACCTTATGTACCTTATTTTGTGTGCATTAAAGAGGTAATAAGTAAAAATGATGCATGTTTTAATGAATAAATAAATGAATGTTTGTGTTCGTTCCGTGCAGCAAGCAGGGCGGGCCGCGCGCGGCTGGTGGCGCGGCTGGCGGCGCGGCCGGCGGCGCGGCCAGCAACAACCGCGGCCGCGCCGGCTCCTGCGGCGCGCAGAGCGTCGTCGCCACCGCGCGACCACGGGGTACGCACCGACGCATTCTACACTCACTACTTAACATAATATAACATCACGCCTTTTAGCCGCAAAGGGGTCGGCAGATGCACATTTCGGCAATTAATGCCTCTGTACAATGTAACACCGACTTTTCATTATTTATGTTATGAGTCCCAGAGTCCCATGTAATAGGGGGTGAGTCTATTTGCCACACACCAGACACAATTCCAGACTCCATGCTACCACTGAGAATTTTTTAAAAAACCTCAAATACTAAGTATCTATCCAAAAAATCGTCTATCTACAGTAAAAAATATACTAAATCTACAAATGTTGTCCACAGCAACACCAAAAACGAAACAAGACAGCGGAGAGCCGAAGCCGTTAGCAGCCAAACAGTGATCTTTAACATGTACATATATTAAGAAAAAGACATTCAGTGCAAAGTGCTTAATCACCGGCAATAATGATATTTAATGTGTCGAATGCATTTTATTATACTATATATAAATATGTTTAAAAACTTAAAGTTTAGTGCCCAGACACTAGTGAATTTAAAATGTTGCTCGTTGGTTATTTACGGCGACTAGGTGAGTTGCATTATATAGCTTATAGTTTATAACTTTATTTATAAATACGTTGCATTGTATGAAATTGTCAGGGCATATAATTTCTAACTATACAGAGTGTAAATGGAACACTCCAAGGCCTTTAGCCAAACGCCACTTTAGCGCTTGTCTACAGAGAGAGTAGAAATCAAAATGTATGGAGATGACACCGACAAGTGTAACAATTTACGTCAATTCCATATAATTTGGTTTTCTATTCTACATGTAGACAAGGGATAAATGGCATTTGCTGAAACGCTGACAGAAAGAAATTGATTATTATGTTTTTCGACTTACTCACGTAATAATTTGACGAGGAACTCGACTAGTTTCAAGACATGCTAGAGGCTCATAATCGAGCATACGCTGTTACATAGCAGCGCGACAGTCGCCGCGTCGCGGAACGCTGCTCGCCCTTTATCCCCGAAGATGTAGGCAGATGTGCACATGACGGCACTTAATAGTACAATGTAACACCCACTTTTCACTATTTATGTTATGAGTCCCATGTAATAGGGGGTGAGCCTATTGCAATACACCGGGCACAATTCCAGACTCCGTACTACTACAGAGTATTTATTTTTTAAAAACCCAGTATTACTTTGACCGACTTGGTAATCGAACCCGAGACCACCTTGCCCGTCAGTCGCACTTGCGACCACTCGGCCAACGAGGCAGTCTCGGGTTTGATGACCGATTTTTACGGAGTCTTTTTGACGTCTGTGATTTCCTCTTGGTTATCTTATTTTTACATAGTTAATAAACACATTTAACCTATTTGTCTGTTTGTCCACAGCTTATATGCATCGACAATAAGCAACGCTACGCTCTGTTTCACGCGATATCATAATTATTGACAAAAATATAGCTAGAGAGTAAGTATGTACTACCATATATATAAACTTATATATTTTTGACATTGTATAAAAATATAAAATTATAACGACATTCATTGTCTTAATAAAATTTTCAAAATGACATTAAAAAAAACAAACGTTCTGTCGTAGTCTTTGGTAGGGTTAAGTATTTTTTATCTGTGGCTACTTTGGTGCTGCAACATCGACATCCTCGCATTTTGTTTGAATTTTGGATTTAGAACCACCAGTTTGGTTAAGAGCCTTTTGAGACTCGACTAGTGAATTTTTCTCGAAAATTTCGAGTGAGTATGAGTAAGGTTGAGTGTATCTGAGTATCAACTCTGGTTTTGTATGTATAAGTCGTGTTAAGTAATGAACTCAAATGAGTTATAGTCACTCAGTGTTATAAGGTGTATTTAACGTTGAACTCATTTACACTCAACCCAAATGAGTGTTGCACTCAACTCAACTCAACCATACTCATTTCGATATTCATATGATTTGGATCTCTAGACAAAAAATTATGGAAAAAATACGAAAAAAAATTGTCATTTTACTTTTTTTTTCTATAAGTCATGATAAAATTGTACAGTCTGTGTAAAAAATAAATAGATGGGAGTGGTGAATTAAAAAAATAGTTTAAAAAAAACATGTATAATATGCTGAAGACTGGTATAATTCGGTTCAGGTGTCGCGCGAAGTTTTTGATGATGATGATGATGAGAAATTTAATAATTAAACGAGCGAGTGTGTTTGTTGATGATTAGGGTTGAAAATACTTAATTTTTTTACGTTTTTTCTCATTTCCTATATCTGTATAATAGATGCCTTTATGATGAGCCGTCTTTTTGATATATGGTGGTCTAAAATTGGACTTTGGATAATTTTTGTGAGTTTTGTTTATGTTGTACGTTTTTATATACGTCTGTCTGTCACACTACTGCGTAAACCTATTTATTAAATGGAAGCTATGATAAATATTATATTTATTTACTTAAATTTTGTTTATGAATGACCTATCTCTTCTCATAGTATAAAATCGTCTTTTTTGGTCCGTCAATACCAAATTCTATTCATATTTCTCCTAAAATGTTGATAAATGGCCTCATTTTTGCAATACATATAGATGACTAATTTCTCTATATATTTCCAAGTGTACTACAAAATAAAATTAATGAAAACCCATTAAACCAATCGCTAGTATCAGTTTTTACCTTATACACCCTTTTCCGTCCACTGCTGGACATAGGCCTCCAATATCCGGCCAATGAGCTCGATCTTTACCTATTTGCATCCAGCAATTATAACATTACCAGCCACATAGCGCATATCGTCACTCCACCTAGCTAAAGGGCGTCCTACACTATATTTGATCCGGTCTCCACTCCAGACCACGTCTGCTCCTAAGGTCATCAGTTTTTCGACACATTTTACCCACTGCTACTTCAAATTTCTAATCCTTTGGGCTACGTAGATGGTTTTAATTCTCCGTCGACTCCCCCAATGAGAAAAGCCGTAAATATGTATATAAAAACATACAACATAAACGAATAACATGAATAGTGAAAAGTGGGTGTTACTTCTGTGTGCACCTCTGCCTACCCCTTCGGGGATAAAAGGCGTGATGTTATGTTATTATATTAACATAAACGAAATAACGAAAAAAAATCTATCCATTTTAAACGTTTTGTCTAAATGTCAGAACTGTCAAACGTCAATCCGCCATCTTGTTTTCAAAAACGACGGCTGTAAAACATACTGCCACTTGTGTATTTAAATAAAAAAAATATTATAAAACTAGATACTTTAATTGAGCACACATTTTTTTAAGTGACGACAAAGCTATTATAATGGTTTTTAGTAGAATAAAATGGTTGTCATTATTTCCTTGTTTTTTAATTATATATTTTTTTTTACATGGGACCATTACCGGTCTTTTTGTTTCATGAGACCAAACGGTCTTTTCATTTCATGGGATCATATGGTCTTTTAAAGGGGCGTTAAAGGACTTCTGACAGCTGTAAATGATATATGAAATTGGACAACCAAAGCCGAAGTAAAGGATGAACTCCTTTGTGTAATTTGATGTATTTTTGTTACGAGATTCTCTTGTAATTAGACTCGCTCCATATTACATGGGACTCTTAATATAACAGCTAAAAAGTAGGCTTAACTAAATGTAAATGGTTAACTTTACGTAATTGAAGGCGTTATTTATGTATGTCAAAATAACTTATTCTAAAATGATTTCATCGAAAATTATAAGCAATTTTGGGTCTAAAATATAAAGTAGTCTAGCTAACGTGATTGGAATACTTATAGTCAGAATTTTAATTAGATTCCAGATTTGACAATAGCTACTGTCATTTTGTAAAATAATGATACCACATATAATAGTGTAGTGATGAACACAAAAATCGATAAACAATCAGTGTGTGTGTTTTATAATAAATGTTACAGAAAGTGACAGGATAGCGATAGCGATGACGGCGAAAATTTATAAAATAACTCATTACCATAATACATCTATCTGTTTTATTTGTCATGTTCCTTCATGATTACTTTTTTTTATTTATTTCACAGACAATTATAAAAGAAAAGTCTCAGATCGTTAATTAATCGTCAAAACTAAATTATCGGTTCAGAAATATTTAATTTCCTGATATACTTAGTTTACAAGAGTAAAATTATAAACAAGAAGAATCGATCCAGAAATATTGCATTTCCATATCGAATAATTTCGCAACGTCACTATTTAGTGCTTGTCATAACGTTGCAACACTGAAATTGTCAAATCTGGAATCGAATTAAAATTCCGAGTATAGGTCATAGATCTAGTGTGTTGAATTTAATAGATTACGTCTAAATGTTTCGAAAGTAATAAGTAATAAATCGTTTTGGTGCTATTTTCACTATAAATGGACAAAGGCAACCGTTTTATTCTACCCCTCAGTGCATCGGAACGATTTTCAATATTAATCGTGAATTTATAAAAACTATGTAGTCTGAATATTTCATAAAAATAATAATTACTCATCACCTTTTCCAAAATTAATCGTATAATAAATAAACCTAATGTAATTATTAATAAACGAGCAACAAATAATTACTCATTAAAATTATTAACTTACGAATAATTACTCAAAGAAATTATCGTAATTGAAAGTCGTTCCTTAAAATGTTTTTTTTTTAGACTAACTTGCTCAAGTTGTTTTTGGTTTTTATGTCTATGTATAAACTATAATTGTATGTTTCTGTGTCGAATCCGAATTGAATGGTGGCAGATAATTACTAGCCTGTAGGTACTTGTATCACCTAGTAGTGTGGAGATTGTTGAATCAACTGATGGTAGCGGCGACTGTCCAGGCGACACATGTACTTAGGTATCGTCATGAGCTAATGTTCACATGTAAACAGCAGTTCATGTAAAGAGATTGTCCAGTCAACTGATGGTAGCGGTGACTGTCCAGGCGACACACGTACTTAGGTATCGTCATGAGCTAATGTTCACATGTACACTGCAGCTCATGTAAAGAGATTGTCCAGTCAACTGATGGTAGCGGTGACTGTCCAGGCGACACACGCACTTAGGTATCGTCATGAGATAATGTTCACATGTACACTGCAGCTCATGTAGTGTAGAAATTGGTCTGCGTTCTATTCATACTCCCTTTGCATGTACACCCCTGATTTTAATGATTATTAATATCGGATAAGTACATTACCATTAGACACAATTAACTCGTCGAGTACCGTCATTATAGACACAATTATAGAACAATAGGTTGCGGTCACCGGTGACTGCTTGGTGTTTGACAGTTTAAAGAACAATAGTGTCCGGACACCGGTGTCCTCGCGGTGTTTGACAGTTTAAGGTTGTAAACCAAAATAATGGTTCAATAATTTTGCCGTCACCACTTGACACTGGCAGTATAGTCGACAACACCGTTTTGGAGACTCGGTTGCCAAAGAAGAAAAAATAAGTGTTTTTATTCTTTATATTTCTCTTATTCTGAAAATTTCATGCATATGACCATTCGTTTAAAAGCAATAAACAAATATATGGCTTGAAGCCCTGAATGAGCTGAAACTATATTATATATATATTTTGATAATGGTCATATTATGCATGGATTCGTTTCTAACTAAGATTTTTTGGGTCCTTATTCAATGGGACTCATAACTGGTCAAAACTAGGTGTTACATTGTATATGCACCTCTGTTTACATTTTCGAGTATAAAACGTACCTTATGCTTCAGAAACTAAGTTATTTTGTAGACAATATAATTTAAAATTGATTGCTCAGTAGTAGCATGAAGCCTGGAATTGTGCCCGGAATATGGCAATAGGCTTACCTCCTATTACATGCGACTCATAACATAAATTATGAAAAAACGGGCACCTCTCCCTATCCCTTCGGGGAAAAAAGGCCTGTTATGTTGTGTGAAGTTGAAACACTTGTCTGAAATTTAGAATATATCAAAGATTAGGATGAGTCTAAACTTATATCATAGGTACCTATTGAAAAAAAATATCTTGTTCGATTTGACCAATTGAGGTGTTCGAAAGGTTATATATTTTTCGCCTTAACTATATATATATATAGCTAGAATGATAGTGAAAATTGTTAAAACGAGTTTTTTAAGATATTCGTGCCTCTAATTGTTTAGTGGTAATATAATTATAACAGTATATTATTTTGAAACGAAATCTACTCCTGACTGTGAACATATTTTCATGCGATTTTTTAGCTAAGATTTTTTCTGTAATATCATCATTTTTCTTTGAGCCTTAATTTCTGTACTCGGTGACATTTAAAGGTAACCAAAATGAGGTGAATAGGGATCGAGAGACAGAAGAAGGGTGAATAGATATTGGAAAATTCTTCATAGTATCTTTTCGCCCCTCTTCTCAGTGCCAAGCACGAACAACTATCGCATTATAATAAATAGTATTGAGGGCTTCGGCTTCCTAATTGGTTGGTTCCCTCGAACTGGCCAATCAGAGCGTCGAACATCTTCGATACTATTCCATTACGAATGCGATAGTTACTCGTGCTTGGCCATCTGTTCCTATTCACCCCATTTTACCGTACTTAGATTATTTCTAAGCGATGATTTTGTTCCGAAAACCATTGCTAAGGTCTCAGTGAGGCAGTTTGGCTACACAGAAAACTAAAATCATAGTTAATACTGATACTATCTGTTTGCCATTCAATTCGGATCACATCTAGGCAATAATAAACATTATAATTACGATTATAACTATTATGATACATAAAAAAATATATATTAAATAATTATTGTGTAGGGTACTTGAAATTGAAAACGAATGATAGGTGTGCGAAGGCCCCTTTTTTCTTAGTTTTTAAGTGTGCTTTATTTTATTCTTTTTTTTTTTGTTGGGCAACCCAGTTGTGGTATGTTGGTATTAAAAAATATATACCTATATATAATTTTGACAGAACGGCTGCTTTTTATCGATGATGTCGATAGTACTATCAGCTTTTATTATAGTTTATTTCGAAAATTTCGCTATAAATGACGACTATTCGTTTTTTTAACGATGTCTGATATGTTTTTTTGTTTGGTTGTATCGAACAACCAAGTCAAGATTTTCTTCAATAAATTGCGTGCATTTTTTTCTGCACTTTTTTCTATATTCTATATTCTTCCAGTGATGTATGCTTCATTCGTGCTTTTTTTGATTCGACATACCACGACGAAGTTGCGATTCTGTTTAATATATAAAACCTACATGATTAAGATTATAAAATAATAATAAAAATACTATTAGTACGCTTCGATCGCTTCGAAAACCCGACAAAATAGTTCCTATAATTATTTAGACGTTTTACCTAATTATTAATTACGAGAAAAATATGTAATTTTAAATTATTGACGAAAGATCTTTGAATCACAAAAAATAAGTTTTTTTTTGTCCAACAAATTCTATGAATTCTTCCGTTTCTATCACTTTACGTGTTTTTAATATTAATGATTGAAATTATATAATATGTTTGCTATTCTAGACTTTACACAAAGATTTTTGCGTCAATAATAACCAGTTTCGTTTTTATTTACCCGTTCTAATGTAATAGAAACATGATGTAATTTTTACCTTAAAATTTCATTGTAATTTTATATCGAGACAAAATATTTAGAAGCGATCATTAGCTGCGACGTTATATTTATATGCGGGAACTCATAAAATGCTAAAACAGCAGCTCATGTAAAGAGATTGTCCAGTCAACTGATGGTAGCGGTGACTGTCCAGGCGACACACGTACTTAGGTATCGTCATGAGCTAATGTTCACATGTAAACAGTAGCTCATGTAAAGAGATTGTCCAGTCAACTGATGGTAGCGGTGACTGTTTAAAATGAAATAATTGTTATCATGAGTGATCCGTGATGTAGTCAATAAAATCATGCATTAATGATTGGGAAATGTAAAAATTATTGGTTTGATTTCAGTTTTTTGTCGAAACACTTTGATTGTATACTAAATTATACTATTTAGACGTTATTTCATTAGGAATAGATTTAAGTTTTAAATAAAAGTGAGATGTAGTTTTTAGCTTATAATTTTTTAACATCGTAATGTCAGTTGTGTAGAAAATGCAGAAGTATATTTTAATGGATTGAAGATGGTTTTTAAACTATCTTTTATTGGTTTTGTTGGTTATATTTCGTTAATATAATGGCTTGGTTTAAATTTTCTTGTAAGAAAGCAATGTATACTACTCTTATCACTGTATGGCAGCAGTTTTCATAGAAACTCTAAAGTCTGTGCCAATTTCTAGATAATTCTTGTTTTTGTAATTGTATGTAAAAAATAACTTTTTATTTGACTTTGATGTGTTTACATATATTGCAAACTTTGTGCTAAGTATAATCTTAAAATTAAATTTAGTAAGCAAATTGGATGTTTTTGTTCACATTTTTTGACTCACAAGTTCCCGCGTATAATTATATCGTCATGAAATCTTATGGTGAATTATTTGTTAAGTCGTTTTTAAGTTCGTTCGTTCGTTGCAATTTCTTTTTCGTATCTTAAGCGCGCCAAAGGTGTTGATGGAGAGTGTTAAAAAACTCCTAGAATTAAACTGTATAAATGAAAAATATAAAAAAAATTACTTGCTAATAAAATTAAGGCTTGATAATGTTATATTATCGATGTCCCGCAAAATGGCGGATTGGCGCCAATTTTTGACAGTTGATAAGTATGACGAGCTGTCACAGTAATGTTGCCAGCCCATCCGTCATCTTGCTGGACAATTTTAAAACGTAGTTTCAATATAATCCAGTGCATTCA